CTCTAATTTCATTAGTGGAGAGTATAAGATTAGCTAAAATTTTGTACACCAAACATTTAAACTTTCTTCTCAATAAATATTAGTTTATTTTATAATTAATAGTTAAATTTTGATTTTTATAATTTTTCTTATTAAATTCAATTAAATACTTTACATTGATTATATTTCATGCAGTACATTCCAGTGTAACGTTTATATTTTATAATTTTGTATATGTAAATAATTCTATATTTCTATTATGTATGTATGGATAWAATATAATCGTTTCATTAAAAAGTCTTAGCACTATAAGGTCTCTTTATTCTACCATTTCATAACTTATGTTGTTTTTTGTTATCAAAATATGCTTATTATTAATTTACTATATAACAGGTGGCATCATCTTAAAATGATATATTCCTGTAGTATATATTAAAAAATAATATTTGACTTATAATAAATCCTAAAAAATTAAATAATGCTATAAAATTATAAATAGACCATTAAAAAAAAAACTTATGGTTATAATTTATTTGATTATCATTCAAATTTGAACAAATTGTAACATTAACTTTTTAATTTATACATTCTATACCTGGGATGGCCAACTTGCAGCTTGCGAGCCATATGTGGCTTACGTCATAGTCGTATAGGGTTCACAGCTTATTAAATATAAATAATATTTACTTATTAACAATAAAATTTTTATAATTGCTTTGCTATGATTAATTTTTAATAAAAGGCAAATTAAAAAAAAAAAAAAAACAATAAAATTATAAATTGTATACCATGTATTTATAAACATTTATGCTCTTGATATCATTGTATTTATCCATGTGGCTTGTGAACGTATTCATGGTCACCCCTGATTTATACAATTGTTGTATTATAAGCATAACGAGGTTCAGGGTTGTTTTTACGCTTGGTGGCTTTGAAGTGACTACTTAATTAATCCCTGAGTAGAATTTATATCATTTTTTGAAATGTATATCTATACTGTGTGTCCCAAAAATCAGGGCCCACTTTACTACTCATTACCATGTAAATATTTTTCAATTCTGCTTGCGGGACATTATACTAGACTAATGGATCGTAAATTTCTATGACTTACAATGTTTTTAACTCATGTATCTTGCGCATGCGCTATAAAACTTATTTTTTTTAAATGGCAACCCGTAATTTAAATATAATATTTGAGTTCATGGATTTTTTCAAGCCATTTTGATGTATTAACTTGTATTCTAAACCCAAAATTGACTAAACTAGAGCTAAGTAGAATTTTAAAAATTTAAAAATTCAATTTAATTATTTTTTTTCTAACTGTACGTACTTTTTTTTTTTTAAACACCATGAAACAAACAATCAAAATTATTATTATAATTATTAAATTTTATTTCTTGGTTTATGGTGACATCTGAGGATGATCCATTATTAATTAATCATATTTTGTGGACTGATGAAAGTAAATTTACTAATGATGGAATATTAAATAAGCAAAATAATCGTTATTGGTCGAATGAAAATCCTCACTGGGCTGTTCCTACWAACTTTCAAACATGTTGGAGTACAAATGTATGGGTTGGTTTGATTGGTGGTAAGTTACTTGGGCTCCATTTCTATGACAGAACTTTAACGGGAAGAAGATACGTAGATTTTTTGCGTAATGACTTGCAATTACTCCTCAATGATTTACCTTTAGACATACATAGAAATATTTATAATCAGCAAGACGGGGCCCTACCTGCTTATAGTGCCCCGAATTTTCCAAGAATTTTTGATAATAAGATTTGGCGAAAATTTTTATTGCAACGCATGGACCAGTAGAGTGGCCCCCCAAGGTCACTAGATCTAACACCGTTAGATTTTTTTTGTGGGGGCACTTGAAAAATGTTGTGTATGCTGATCCTCCAATAAACATCCAAGATTTAAAGAATAAAATTACACACGCATGTTACCTCCTTAACAAAAACYAAATACTGGCAGCAACTACTATAGTGAATGTTTACGTCGATTTGAGGCATTAAATTTACATGGCGGAGGAACTTTCGAACAGTTTATTGAATAGTTTATGCTTGTAATTTCTGTATATTAAATTTTAAATAAAAATGTATGGTAATACTTAAAAAAAATAATAAAAATTTTGGTTCTTGAAACACATGTTTAAACTATGTTATTAAATTGTAAATAGTTAATTAGTTTAATATTAATAATAATTTTGATTGTTTGATTCATGGTGTTTAGAAGAAAAAAATAATTAAATTWAATTTTTTAATTTTTTAAATTCTACTTAGCTCTAGTTTAGTCAATTTTGGGTTTAGGACACAAGTTGATACATCAAATTGGCTTGAAAAAAATCCATGACCCCGAATATGATATTTAAATTACGAGTTGCCATTTAAAAAAATGTAAGTTTTATTGCGCATGTGCAAAATACAAGAATTAAAAACATTGTAAGTCACAGAAATTTACGATCCATTAGTCTAGTTTAATGCCCCGCAAACAGAATTGAAAAATATTTACATGGTAATGAGTAGTAAAGTGGCCCGTGATTTTTGGGACACACGGTATACATTTAACAGTAATTGCATATTAACTAGTAGATAACTTAAATTAGTCTTTTTAGAAAAATATTTGCAAATAAATTATACACTGATGGATATGGGATGTTTATTTATTATTCTTAATTTTACCATTTTTATGGTGAATTTGTTGCCAAGTACATAATCATTTTATATTAATTCATAAAATAATATGCGAGTACTAATTATTATATTAAATAAACAAATATTTATGTATCTTTATTTTTTTATAGCACAAGGAGAATCTAGTTCACAAACTTATAAAGAATCTCGAAACATAGAGAATAGAGTGAATTTTTCCAGTAAGTCTTGAAATTAATTATTAACTTAATTTAAAATGTTTAATGACTCATCAATTTAATTTTTTAAGATTCTGAAGTTGATACAAATAAATTAACAAAATTCCAAGTGTTGCTTGAAAGTAACTTATTAAATTTAGATGATTTGAAGAAACTTAGTTGGTCTGGCGTGCCTGTAGAAGTACGTCCTATGACATGGAGACTATTAGCAGTAAGTTAATTTAAAATGCCTTGAAAATAAATGTCTATTGAATCATTGTATTTTATATAAATTATATTGTCTAAAACCTTTTGACCAATCAGAGAATGTGTCAGTTCTGCGCATCTCCACATGACACACTGCCACAGGTAGAACCAGTGTGGCATATGAATGCAAAGAATCAACTGATTTTTGTCAGGCCAAAGCACATTTTCTTGGTAAACAGAGTATAATATGTAATTTATTTAAAATCAATTATTTTACAAGTTATAAGATTCTCACAATCCTAATATTAAGTAAAAATACAATACTAGCGAAACCAAAATTATTAGTATTTTATTTGAATTTAAAACAGTTTAGTAGGAAAAAATTCAGATAATTAATATTATTAGACCATAAAATAGACTAAATCTTGTATTTTACAATTATAGTATTTAAAATAATTTATAAATATATAAGGGTAATTGATTTAATCTAAATTCACACCTTTACATCACATAAATTATGTCCCTAATTTATAATTTTATTTCATAGGGTTATTTACCAACTAGTGCTGAACGTAGACAAGAAGCTCTTGATCGAAAGCGTATTGATTATGCAAACCTTGTCAAACAATATTATGATACAGATAAAGATGAAGTGTACAAAGATACTTATAGACAGGTTTGTATTGAATAAATATTTTTGATTTTTATTTTAACATTTGTTTATGGTTATGTATTTTTATTATCTATAGATTCATATTGATATTCCACGTATGAGTACTCCTCTTTTCCAACAAACAACTGTGCAAGAGATGTTTGAAAGAATTTTATTTATCTGGGCAATTAGACATCCTGCATCTGGATATGTTCAAGGCATGAATGATTTAGTTACACCTTTTTATGTTGTCTTCTTGCAGGAATATCTCCCAATAGGTACTAGTATAATAATGTTATTAGTAAAATTTTGTAAAACTATATACTATTTTTATTTTTAACATTGATATATAACAGTATTATAATAAAATGTTTTAATTTTTTAATTTGTATTATCATTAAACGTATAACTACAACTTAATAAAATCATAAAATAACTATCTACTGATATTTTAAGGTACAAATATTGAAACACTCGATGTAAGCTCAATATCAAAAAAGGATCGAGACTCTCTAGAAGCTGATTCATTTTGGTGTTTGTCAAAGTTTTTGGATGGTATTCAAGACAATTATATTTTTGCTCAGCTTGGAATTCAGTATAAAGTTAACCAGCTAAAAGAACTCATTCAAAGAATTGATGGTGATTGATGTCTTATTTGTTTTAATGAGATAAATAATTATTCAATATTTATTTAGGCACACTACATGGACATTTAATGAAACATGGAATCGATTACTTACAATTTTCATTTAGATGGATGAACAATTTACTAACAAGAGAATTACCACTGAGGTGTTCAATAAGGTTGTGGGATACATACCTCGCAGAATCTGATCGTTTCGCTACTTTTCAGCTTTATGTATGTGCTGCATTTTTGTTGCATTGGCGACAAGAATTACTAGTAGAAAAAGATTTCCAGGTAATTGAATTTTAATGATTGCCTCATTATGTGTTATTAATCAAGATACTTCTTCTAGGGTCTCATGATAATGTTACAAAATTTGCAAACACAAAATTGGACAGACGCTGAGATCAGCTTATTAGTAGCTGAAGCCTATAGATTGAAGTTTACATTTGCTGATGCTCCAAATCATTTGACTACAAAAAGGTGATGATTTCCTGTCATATTGATGACACACCTTTATATAATATACATAATTGCATATACCACAACCGTATTTATTTTTTATTACCTAGTTAAGATATTATAATTTATTATTATTGATTATTCTGCCGTTTCTATTGTTTATTTTATTTTAAAATAAATTGAAATTCATAATTTATACATTTTACATTATTAAGTTTACTGTATATATTATATTGATTATTGTCAAAGTTATTTAATATATTTTTGTTCATATTTTTATTGTTGTTGTGCTCCCAATACAGGGTGGATTATTGTCATTAGTGTACAAATTCTATATATATATTTTTATTATTTCTATTATTTTATTTTAAACAAAATAAATGATCATTAATTATGGTTTTGACCAGATTTTAATAATAATAAAATAAACAATAACATAATTACAGATGTATTGCATTTTATGAACTTATGGTTCATTTTCAAACATATCTGTTAACATAGTTCTAATAAAAACATTAAACTGTATTGTGTAAAGTTGAAATTGAATTATAGGTTCATTTATAATCTCAAGTCATATATACATATATATTTTTAATTTTTATTCTTAATATATCACATACATTTTCTGAATATGATATGTTCAACATTGATCAATTTATCTAACCAAGAGGTGAGCCGATCACTTTTAACCAATAATATAATATAATACATTTGAAACTTTGAATTTATATCTAAAAGCATGAATCAATAATATTTTATTTGTCAATATGGTTGTTAATACATTTACAGTATAACCACACACAGAGCTAATAAAATACTAGATGATGCATTTATTAATTTTTTTCCTTCTATTAGTTCTAATATTGGATTGTTAAAAAAAACCAATATCGATAAAACTGATTTAGCTGATATTGGTTTGCTTATCGGTTCAGCCTTAGTTTATACAATTTTTAAAAAATCTTAATAGCATTCAAATATTTTAGAAGCACACATGTACATTGTAATCTCACGTCATTGTTTAAATCACCTGCAACTTAGATGATTATTTCAATTAATTAAATTACCTGACTCAATCCAAAAAAATGTTAAATTATGGTTAGAAATCCGTATCGCAGTTCTTAGTCTTTTGGGAAAGTGTTATAACTGCATTTTTGAGTCACTGATAGTTTTTTTTTAAGAACCTATTGAATACATAATATGCATCTTTAATAATGATTTTATAGCCAGTGCTTATTATTATATTACTAAAAATAGAATACCTATAAAAAAAAATTAATGATTAATTCTTCTTATTTCAGTGTCCGGTATTTTTTGCAATTATATTTTATCTATCCAGTAAGATGCCAATTTTGTAACATAATCATTAATCTTATCCACAAATTCAGTGATTAATGTAAACTAAAACTAAAATATTAAATTTTAGTAATAAAAAAAATAGTATAAAAATGTACATATAAGTATATATTACTTAAGAATCATTTAAGTCTATTGATAAACTCGAATCAGAATCATCTCCAAAACACTCAATTGCTGTATTCCGTTTACAAGCAACCATGGCTATTTCACTAGCAAAGCTTTTACTAGGTAATTGCATAGAAAATCTTTCATCTTGAGGCAAGTCTAATGCGACTTTACGCACTTTATTTATATACCGTTCTTGTCTCTCATTACATTCATCGTCATCAGACAATTCATTTAACTGTGGATGTTTTTCTAACAACTTGCATTCTCGTTCTTTCCATTCAGCTTGTTTATCTTTAAGCGCCACTTTCAATTCTAACATTAAATTATGATTGTTAGACTTATCAAATATTACTTCATTATAAAATGTATTTTCTACTTGTTCAGTAGGTTCTTCAGATACACCAAAAAATAATTCATCTTCACAAACTTCTTTGATTGTTTCATTGGTTTCTGTATCTATATGTTCAGTTACTTCAAAAGAATCATTAGTTAATAAAGTTTTATCTGTTTGATTATTATTTCTTTTCAGAATGTTAATTTGTAGAGTTGAAATAAGTTCATTAAAAACACTGACTTCTTTTACCAAAACATTCAGTGTACTATTTATATCATCAATGTTGTTTGCTGAAGAGCTTTCAATCGAGTCTTCCATGAACCGTACATGCACCATCATGTTTTGTAAAAACTGTCGAATACTATATATTTTCACTTTAAGATCAGAATTTATATTCGTACCTTGAATTGGTTGTTTACTATGTTTCATTGCATTATTTTTAAAAATTGAATAAATATTATACTCATCATATAAAACATTATATGAGCTTGAATACACTTCTTCAATTTTGCCAATAGTTTCAATTAGACGATTTACTTGAAAATAACTGTAAGGAGTCCATAATACTGGACATAAACATAATGCTGACTGTTTCAAGAATTCTGATTGTAGTAAAAAATAAGTGTACTTGGCTTTCTGAAACATAATATTATAAAAAATAAAATTATGTCTCAGCACAATATATTTTATAAATATCAAAATATTTAAAACAAGATTAGAAACCATAATTTGTATTAGAATAATTATTCCAATTTTAGGTAGGTAAGTTTTATTTTTTTATTTAATTTTGTATGTATCATTAAATCTGAACATATTTAAAATATTKAAATGTTTATTACTTCAAGCTGTACTCACATTTATATTTTCAATTGAAGTGTTTTTTAAATCAATTTTGCAATCTGTACGGTACAAATAAACAATGTTGGAAACAGAATCTTTTAGAGGAAAAAATGAGTGAACTTCAGATACATTATGTACAAGATTATTGATCAAATCTTGTAACACAGTTATAAGTAAATATTTTAATTCTGGCATCAATAAGTATTTGAAGGCATTAGGGTTTTTACCAGCATATGTATGAAAACAACTAAAATAATAAAAAATTGCATAATATTAAACAATAAAATAAAACTAATTAATAAGTAAAATAAGTTAATTTAAATAAAAAATAATAATAATTTGTATGGTATTTAGATCATAGAATAACCATGTGTAGTTTTTACGACCATCTATCCAAAAGAGCAAGAGTAATGATCACAAAGTAAAAAGAATGAAAGCTAAAATAGCAAAACTCAAAAGTAACAGAGACATCACCGGTATACATAAAAACAAAAATAAAGTGAAGATAAATAAGTGCAGTCATGATGGTTTGTATGAGAGCGTGATGGGACTTAAGAGTTTAAAATTATCTGAGATTTTTTTATTTTCATTTTCATTTTTGTATTAGTGAATATTTAACCTGTAAACACAACCTTTTAGAAATAAGTATAAACATTGTAAAAGAATACATTCAATGAACCTAGCCACCATATATCAGTCAATGTATCAAATCTATTGAAAAAGTAGAAAATATACTACTGCTAGATTTCAATCTATAAAATTATAATAATATTTTGTTACACTTGTAGATATTTGCAGCTGAATTTTCACAATATCAAAATATGCTTCGACACTTTTTTTAGTACAGAATTTCCATTTTAATATATGCACATGTATTTAATATTTCAAAACAACAAATTTTGATATCTATAGAATCCATGGACTGATTTTCTGCAGCGTATATTCCATAAGAGTGATACCGGCTTTTTATGTTATACTCTTTACTTTTATTATTATTATGATAAACCACTTATTAGGAGATAATCAATAACTAGTAAGTATTTTTTTCTTTTTTTAAGACTGATATATTTATAATTTGAACTATAATTAAAACTAATTAAATTGAATGAAGTTATTACCTATTATGGAGATTGTTACATTCTTGAAGAAAATGAGTAGACTTTTGTATCAGCAGAGATAATTTTTCCATGGATTGGATGGTTTTCATAACAGTATTTTTAATTGTTCTACTTTGGTTTAAGTTATACAATACGTCCATAAACACACAACCAAACCAAAAAATGAACATGCCTATTGTTGTCCATTCATCCCAGTATTTTGAAAAAAACATGTTCATAAGACCACAAAATACGAATAATATAAGTAGAGTAACACTGAAAATTAAGATTGGTAAACATTAAGAATAAAATTAATGTGCTATTTATATAACATACATTTGGATTAAAATTGGATATGTAGATGATCAAAAATACTAACAAAAATATTAGGTTATTAGGTCTGATATTGTTATTATCATGACATAATGAATTTATGGCAATATTGTATACAGTAAAACAAAAAATGGTATCTTATTCACTGAATTATGGTTAAATAATAAAAATCAAAACTTTAATCAATTTAATATTTAAACACATAAGTTGTTATTTCATACTTAATAATTAATAACTTTATGAGATTTATTCTAATATTTTGTACCTTTTCCKTTTTGTAAGAAATAGAGGATATTTTAAGTGATCTGATGGAATGAATTCCTTAATAAATAAAGTATCTTCTTTGAAAATAAGTTGACTCTCCATGATCATCTTGATTAATGTTACACACAATCCAAAATCCTAAAATGATATAAGTTTTTATTTTAGCAAATTTAGAAGCCTTGAATTTATTGCTCTTTAAATTTGGTTCTCTGACACTTTTAGATTTCTACCCAATTCTAATAATGATTACCTACATACCTTTTGATTTTGGATTGATCTCATTATTTTCCTTGGATATTTTTGCTCCTGTTAAAAAAAGGAAATAATATCTTTRTAGGTAAATAAAAATGTATAATCTGTATGTAGTTAGGTATCTAGTGTGTAGTGTACTTTTTAACATTGGTATTTCAAACTTACTTCAACTGGACAAAAATTTTCAATAGGTTTTCGTTTAGAAACTTCAAATTCAGAGTATCCAACCGCATTCAAATACTTTTGCAAATCTGTACCCTGAAATATTGATCAAACATAAACTAGAAATTCGCTAGGCTAAACTGGTGTGAATAAAAATGCGCAAATCTATTTGGACCACATTATTTACATGGTTCATTGTCCCAGTGCTGTGACAAAGTGGGATTATTTAAGGCTGGTTTAGTCAAGCGAATCTATAGAAAGAGTTACAAGAAAAATAATTTACAATATTTTATTATTCTAGTACTTAGTACTTACGTCTGCGACAACATCTTCGTCATCGATTTCCATCTTGGATACAAGAATTTAATTCTTAAACGTTAATGCCACTGAAACATTTGAATTGTGTATTTTTTATATTATTTTCCTACTTATTTCTCAAATAGGTACTTTAGTGTCAACAACATATTTATTCATTCTATAATTATTTATTCGGTTATCAATACTTAGTTATGTTATCAGGTTGATATGAATAGTTGTAGATATCAGCACAATCATGGCACATTCATAGTATCAGTCGAACACAATGGGAGCATGCTTCTGGTAACAAACGTCGAATAGATGTATTAGTTTTTTTTCAATTTAAGTTACGACATTTTAAATTCTTACCCAATTATTATTTAATCTAATAGACCATGCAAAATATATGAAATTGTGTAACTAAACAAATAAATAAACGATTAATTTGGCTAATATTTTTAATTGTATAGTAGCCAGTAGGTATATAATATATATATATATTATATGGTTTGACGAATCTGTAGACAAGTCCCGAACGTACATGTAGWTAGGCACCTACAGGTATCCACAGTYCACATATATGTAATAAGTAGCCGAGTGGCGAGTGACCTGATAAGTAATCGGCCATGTGAAAATTGTGGGGGTTTTGTTGAACTATTCATAGGTAGGTACTTGCAATGTTCGATCATTTWWWAAAAATTAATATCGATAAMAATTTATTTTTTGGATGGAAAAGCTTGAAAATTTAATACAAGGCTCTTAACATGTTGTTACAATAGCAGTTGAAAAATAAAATAAATTCATTGTCACAATTTTTTTTATAAATTATTATTTATAAAATTCAAAGTTTGAATTTTGACAAAATACATAAAAATCACAAAAATTCGCAAATTATTTTAAGTTTTCATTTTAAATCTAAGATTTGAAAATTTGATACAAGATTCCTTATAAGTTTGTCAATCTTTATCATRAAAAAAATGTCCATCAGAAAGTCAAATTAAATTTTTATGAGCGTTTGAAATTTAAATTTTTACAACATTGGATTTTCACTAGATTTCTTATTTAGCGATTTTCTTATTTTGGTGTAACTCTAAAACAAATGACTGCAGAAACTTGAAATTTTCACTGAATATTTATTTGAGCATTATACATTATACATTGTATCTGATAAAATTTTTCAAAAAATTTGATTAGTTTTGAGCTGTTTACTGACATTTTAACTTTTCAACTTTTTTAGGTTTTTTTTTCTATTAATGTGAATAAAAATTTATTTTTTGGGTARAAAAGCTTGAAAGCTTAATACAAGGCTCTTAACACATTGGCACGACTTTTTTTATAAGCATTTAAAGTTTAAATTTTAACTAAATACGTAAAAATTACGGCAATGTTCAAATTATCTTAGATAGAAATTCATAAAAGTTTTTCTTTTTAAATTTAAGATTTGAAAATTTAATATAAAGCTCCTAACATATCTTTACAATAGCAGTTGAAAAATGAAAGAAATACATAGTCAC